ATGATAAAAAATTATAATAAAAATAGAAAATAGTGTAAGAACAGAGCGAGAATATTTAGGGGAAAATACAGATAGTATGTAATAATTATATATAATATCTCGAAAATAGTAAATCTTTCTTAAATAAAATTTTTGGAAAATATAAAAAAGGTGTATTTCTGAAATATTCATTTTATATATTATTTTTTTTTTTTGTTTTTGAAAATGTTACAATACGGTTTTGTTCCAAAATAAACTCTACTAATAAATTATCCAACTTGACTTAAGCGCATAAGTACGCAGCAAACTTAAGTTAACACAATTTAAATTTAATGTTAAAATTAGTACACTTAAAAAAATCACCTATCAGTTTGGAAAACTAAAAACTTTGCTTATTTAATTTATTTAAACATAAATATTATTTGACTAAAAATTTAAAAATATATAGTTCATACTTCACATTACTTAATTTTTAATTATAATCTTAATTTAAATTTTAGAACTAAGTTTGACAGCTGTGCATTTTAAACAATTAATTTTTTTTTCCTTAATATTTAGATTCTGTTTTTAGGTATTTGAATTAATTAAAATTTTATAAAATAATTTAATTACAGTGAATTTATTTAAATTTTTTTATGTTTTTGTTTATTAAGTCTTTGCTTTTATAGCTCTAGTTTGTTCTTTCGAATTGAAAATTATAAGTTTTTAAATATATAAACATAGTTTCTAAAATAATTTAATTAAAAATTTAAAACGAAAATATTCATTATAAATTAAATTAAGAAAAGTTAAAAAATTTATTTAAAACAATGACATTTTTTGTATTAATTTTATAATTAAGAAAAAATTTTCTAAACGATTTGGAATATATATTATATATAATAATATAATAAACAGAAAGCTAATTTTCACATTTAAATAATTAAAAAAAAACAAAAAAAAGAAAATGAATATATAAATATAAATACAAATAAATAAAATTTGTTGAAAATTTCAATACTTTTCGTTTTCAATATATAAAATAAAAAATAAATAAAATAAGGTTTCGATGAATACTAAAAACAAAAAAAAAATTTTCCAAGTGTTTTTAATTATTTTTTATTTTTTAATTTTCATTAATTTATTTTTTTGTTTTTTATTATTAATTATTTGTAATTCTTGTACCAAATATTTAGTTAAAAAAATGTCACTAAATATAATTTTAATGAATAAATAAAAATAAACGTATATATTTCTTGTAGTAATTTCTGGAAATTATTTTTCTGTTTAGAAAAATAATAACTAAAAAGAAAAATTTTAATGTGAAAGTAAAGTAAAATAAAGTATTATATGTTATTATATATAGTAATATAAAAATAAATATAACCACCAATAATATATATATTATATATACCTAATGTATGTAAGAAATTAACTGTTTTTATTTAGTTAAATTATTAACAACATAAATATAAAATATTATTAGTTTTAACAATAAAAAAAAAATAAATAAATAAATTTATTATAATATAAATCTTTTACAATATAATTTTAAAAATTGAAATATTGATTAATTAATTTCAATGTATATTAATTATTGTTCGAATTTTTAAAAAAATATGTATAAAATAAAAAATATTCAAATTCTCAGGTAACTTTTATATAATAAAAACGATAAAAATATATGCAAGATAAATTAATAAAAAATAGATAGTAAATTGGAATTTAGAAAAAAATTTTAAATTTTAATTAAATTGAATTTAAAAAAAAAAGTTAGATTGTAAAAAATTTTCACTGTTTTTGTTTTATATTCGTAATAAGTACGGCATTTAATTTATAAAATAACTTTATAAACAAATATATATGTCTGTACTACGAATGAAAAATAATTGTAATTAAAAAATATATAAATTATAAATAATATATATGTATGAGAAAAGCATTGAAATTTTTACATAAAAAAATATAGATAATAGATATACATTAAATAAATGATTTTTTTTCTATAAAAAATGCAACAATTTATTAGTTAAAATATAAAATCATTAAAAAAAAAATTAAATTCAAAATAAAAATATTAAAGAAAATTTTTATCAAAAGGAAAATGAAGTATAATAAAATAATAAAATAATGTCGATTAGTACAATAAGTAATAACTAGACGTTTTTTTAGTAGATATATATAACATACCAAATAAAAAAATAGAATTTATTAAAAATGAAATAAAAAATTAAATTTAAAAAATTTACATCTTGTCTTTTTAAATTATATTAAAAAGCATAATTAAATAATATATTACATAAAAAAGAAAATATAAGGATAAAGCTTTTATTAATATTAATTAAAGTTTAAGTCCTGAGCCTGATAATGACTTTCAAGGAAAGGCGATATATAGAATATATTAAAAAATGTGTTAAACAAATGTCTAATTTTAATTTTAACAAAACGGTGACCTGTAGCCGGATATAAAATATATAAAAAGAATAAAAAAGAAATACCAATATCGTATGATATATGTAAAAAAATAAATAGAGAAAATATTTAATATTTAGAAACTCTTTTTTACGTTTAAAGTTAATAATATTCTAGAACACTGAGCTAAAAAAGCAAGATTTTATTTTTTTTTGTTTTATAACAAAATTTTTTTAAAAATTTTACGTAAATATTTAAATGGAAGACGTTGAGTTTGTTGTTGTATAAAAATTTTCATTTCCTTAGAAAACTTTTATTTAATAACAGTTAATAACTATAACTGCAACTGAAATGCATTAGTTATTTTAATTAAAATTAAAAAGTTAATAAAAGTTAAAGTAATTGGTATTCATATCTTTTTGTTGTTTGAAAAAAAGTTTGGTTGCGTTGAGAGTACTTTTTTTTATATTATTATTATAATTTATTATTTTATATTATATCATTATTTTGATTAGTTATATCATATGTTGTATTATTTTATATTATTATTATTTTTTATATTTATTGTTATTTTTGCAATTTATTTTATTATATTATATTATATTATATTATATTATATTATATTATATTATATTATATTATATTATATTATATTATATATTATTATAATATTATATATTATATTATATATTATTATAATATTATATATTATATTATATATTATTATAATATTATATATTATATTATATATTATTATAATATTATATATATATATTATATATTATTATAATATTATATATTATATTATATATTATTATAATATTATATATTATATTATATATTATTATAATATTATATATTATATTATATATATTATAATATTATATATTATATTATATATATTATAATATTATATATTATATTATATATTATATATTATATATTATATATTATATATTATATATTATATATTATATATTATATATTATATATTATATATTATATATTATATGTTATATATTATATATTATATATTATATATTATATATTATATATTATATATTATATTATATTATATATTCTATTACATTATATTAAAATGATTAAAATGATTAGATTTTGTTGAATTGCTGTATTATTAAGTTTTATTATATTATTATATTTTATTATATTAAAGTATTATTAGATTTCATTATATTATTAGTTTTAATTATATTAATATTGTGTAATTAGATTTTATTATTAAGATTTTATTATATTATTGTATTTATGATTTTATTATATTATTGAATTATTACATATTTTTATAGAAGTCTTTCGAACAGTAGTGAATTGAAACAACAAAACTATATTATTTTTATTTAAAAGAATTTTTGACAGACTATATATCTGTTTCGAGTATTTATTGTCAAATACTCATCATCAGTGGTCTTTTTGGAAATATATCTTTTTTTGACGCTATAAGTACCATGGTTTAAACTCGTGTCTTGCCAAATCATTAGCAAATTGACCCAAAGTCGAACTAGACTTGTATGTCCTGGCTTCCAGTTTTGCTAATTTGCAGGGAAAGTTCATCACACACAAGCACAAATCAGCTGTAGAATAATTAAATTAACTAATCATAGTTATTATTTTTTAATTAATAAATTATTCTTTTATTGTTTATTGTATTCTTTTATTAAATTATTATATATATTATTGTACTCTTATATTTTATTATATATTATATGTATTTTGAATATTATTGTGTTTTATTATAATGTTAAACGCTTTTGTGATATTTTAAGTTTAATGAACTTCAACTCGTTATATTTTAAGCTAATCTTAATAGTAAGGAAAATTAATTTTGTTGTTTTTAAAATTAAATTGCTTTATAATAAAATAAGTTATTTAATTAAATGTAATTAAAATTAATGAACAAAGTTTTCAGGCAGTTTGATTTTAAAAATAAAAATCAAGCTGACAGATTTTGAGCTTTCTAAATTTGGCAATAATTGAAGTCTAATCGAAGAGGTGTTTTTGTTTTATGTTAGATGACCTTCCATAGCAAAAGTGAGAACTCAAATTTTTTAGGACATTTTCACTCTCGTTCTGGTTCACCGCGGGCGGCATATAAGAATATAATGAAGTACACGATTAGTGTTGACCGTCCAACGTCAAGACGGAGAATCGTTTAGAAAATAAATTACGAACAGCCGTCCTTCGAAATAATTAACAAATATTTTTGATTTTATTTCTTATAGCAGAAATACTTATTAAAATAAAATTAAATAACATAAATATGAAATTAAATACCTATTTAATAGTTCAATTGTTTAATTTTAAATTTATTAACTTATTGTAACTTAACATTAACTTATAACTTATTAACTTATTATGCATATATTAATTTTATATGTATTTACATTATATAACATATGTATGTATGTATGTATAAATATATAAAAATATTTATTTTATTTGCAATATTAAGCAAGACTTAAATATATTTTCTTATATATTTCTTAAATATTTATTTTTAAAAAAAATTGAAGATTTATTTTTAAAGAAATATTTCATTTATAATAAAATTCAAGCATCTGTATATACAATTTCAATTTTATTTATTAATTAATTATAATTTGCTTGAACATAAAAATTTTGAAATAAAATTTATTTATAAGATAGCATTGCATATGCCCATATATAAGCATGCAAATTATATTACTATTATAACTAATTATTTTCATATAAGGTCCCACCTGAGTCTGCGCTACCTGGGCGCTTCAGTTTAATGTTGTTGTTATTGGTATTATTAATGTTGTTATTGTTATTGTTGTTGTTGCTGTTGCTGTTGCTGTTGCTGCTGACATTGCTGATGAAGTCACCGTTAGTGTTACTATTGTTGTCACTACTGTCATCAGCAATTTTTTTACTGTTGGTTAGAAAATGATTTGCTCCGTTGTCAAGCTGTTTGGCAGCACCAATAAAATTGGTTGATACAGCGTTTGTTGTTGTTGTTGTTGTTGGTGTATTTATATTGCTCGCTGTTAATGTACTGGTTGTTGCAATATGGCAGCCACCAATTATGGCAATGTTGTTGCTACTGCCAGTGTTATTGCCGCCACCATTGCTACTGCCAATATTTGCGCCTGGCGTGCCAGCCGCACTTGTACTGCTTTGTAATGCCAAAATGTGTTGCGCCTGCGCAACACAAGCGACACATGGGCATGGTCCGCCCAATTTTTTCGCCAGCATTGAGCGCAGCTTCAAGGCTGGTCCTAATTTCATACCAAGAGAGTTCATTAAATGATCTTCAGTCAACAGTGGTAAACCGGTACCATCGATGCATTGATCACGAAAACTCTAAAATTCAAGACAAAAAAAGGAAAAATTAAATATTATAGAAATAAAGAGAACATCTAAAAGACTATGTATAGTATAGATATATAAATAAACTATAGACTAAAAACTAAAAACTAAAAACAAACCACAAAAGCAATACAGATACGTTCACTTGAATGATGATATTAGTTTAGAAATTGTTTTTTCTTACAACTTGTATAAATTGTAAAATTTGTAGTTGCTGCCGTTCCTGTTGTTTTGGGGCGTATTTGATTAATGTGCGCCCATTTAAAATTCTTAATGAAAAAGCCAAACAGGCTACCTGCCAGCTACTATGAACCAACAACTGTTGCTGTTGCTCCTATGATCGAATCTGCTTGTGGAACTCATTGCAGTGCATTGTCGATTTTGGCTGACTTTGCCTGACTTTGGCTGACTTTGGCTGACTTTGGCTGACGTTGGCTGACTCTTGCTGATTTCACAACAAGGTGTTTATGATGGTAACATGGTAAGAGAGAACATCGTTCGGTTACTTCATCCATTTACTTCAATTACTTATAGCTTGAATAGGATTTTGTATTCAGTAGCAATTGAATTTGCAACGCCAGCATGGCTAAGCACAATTTCGATCAGCGGTTGGCTATATAATCGATCCGCATGAGATTTGTATTAAAAGATTAAAAAGATCAAGCTGATTCCCTATTTTGCTTTATTATGATTGATTTCTTACTAGAAAAATAAAGAAATAGTTTTATGGTAATGCAATATTGAAAAATAAATTAATATTTAGAAAAACTAATACAGGAATGTTGTACAACAATCTGCAGCAGGGAGATTTATATATTCGAGAGACTAGGGAGATTTATATTAAAAAATAAACTCGTAACTTAATCCTTAGCAAAAACTAAAGTATGTTATTAAAATTCACTGATTTAAAATGTTAGATAGAATTTTATTGTTTACTAAAAAATTATGAGGAGGAATAGTGAACTACAACAACAAAAACTATTTTTTTATATTATTTTAATTAATTGATTTTTTGACTGACCATACAACTATATCGAGTATTGCTAATTACCCATCATCAAGGTCTTGGAATTATTTCTTATATTTAATTATTCGCAAATAATTTTTTTTTTTGAGACTGCAAGTACCAAAGGTCCTAGATTAGGTTCTATACATAAGAAAGAATATATGACTCATGCAGCAAATAATGCCTTTACAAACAGAATAGTATTGAAACAATTAATTTAACAATTAAAAATAAAAATATATTATTAATTAATTCAATTATTCTACAGCTCGTTTATGATTTCGTTCTAATATAAAAACAGCAAGTGCGAATGTGCGAATATAAAAGTCAAGTACGGTTAAGGTGCGCTGACTCTAAGCTTCAAATTTGACAGGGCACGAGTTCGTTTCCTGTTACTTGCAGTCTCAAAAAATCATTTACGAATAATTAAATACATAATGGGTATTTGGCAATACTCGAAACAGCTGTATAGTCAGTCAAAAATTCAATTAATTAAAATAATATAAAAATGAATTTTTGTGGTTATAGTCCACTACTTCTTAACAATCTCTTTATAAAAATGTGATTTATTTTTCAACTTTTTTTCTGTTAGTTCCATTAAAATTTAAGTTGTAATAATACTAGTTTATAAATGATTAAAAATTTTTATCATTTATCATCATCGCATTCATTTTTAAAAATGAGACCTATATTTTCTACAGAGAAACTTTTCGTAGAATTCGAAAACTATAATAATTTTTTTTCGTCGAACGATCTAAAATTTTGAAAAACAATTGGTGGCCATAGTAAACTGTATATCACACGAATTTAAAAAGTCTTAGTAGTAGTTCTATAGAATTTAAAATATGAACTAACCTACAAATATATAAGACATTGTTTGAGAAAAGAAAGAGTAGTAAAATTATACTATAGAGTCAATTAAATGGACAGTTTCTTGAAGATAATTTAATTTAGAGACATCAGCAATCAAGATGCCAAGCTACCTATAACCAAAACAACAACATTAACTATAAAAACGTTTGGACATATAGACGGGACTTAGTTAATTAAGTCAGTTTAGTATTAACATTACGATTAACCATTGAGACTTCCTTTATTTTGTATTATTTTGCCATTTTGCCATTTTGCCATTTTCACATTTTCATGTTTCTATTTAAATTCAGTTTCTCTGAAGTTTTTGTTTGGAAGTTAAATGCCACAACGAAAAGTTGTAATATCCGATTAAGTGGAGTGGTGCGGTTTTGTTGTATGTCCGGTATTGTGCGGACCATCGAATGGAGTGAAGGCACGCGCCTACGGGTAGCAAAATCACGATCAACGATTGATCAAGTTAAATGTGCGCGTGAGGTAAAAAGGCGAAACTATTGCCACAACAACAACAACAACAACAACAACAACAACAACTACAACACAAAAACAATAAAACTTGCAACAGTTGCTAACGCCTAATTGAAGCAATTGTGGCAGCTTGAAATTATAAACAAAAAAAGGAAAACTACTTTAACTATAGCAATTGGGGAAAATTGCTACTAAAAAAAAAAATAAAAAAAAATAAAATAAAAAAAAATAAAATAAAAAAAAATTAAATTATTAAACAAAAATATGAATAAAAAAAAAACACAAAATCTGCCTGGAAGCTATAAGTCATTAAATGTGCAATTGACGGTCAGTGGAGCTGCTGCTGCCCAGTAGAATACTCAACATATCGCAACGGTACCGATAACAACAATAGTAAAACAATTGGTAAAAGTTTAAATAATAGTAAAAAAAAAATTAAACTGGGCGGAAAAAATCCCATATTTAGTCGACTGTTACTTCTGCTGCTGCTGCTGCTGATGATGATGCCTTCAGTAAATACAGGTGAAGTTAGGTTAGGCGAGTGAACTCAAAAGAATTCTGTTAGGAGTCACTTATACTACCATATATATTAGAAATGTGTTAGACGGAAGTTGTAGGTTCAGTGGTGTGGGATGTTTAAGAACAAAGTGTTCTGTTTGATGTTAAAATATCAAATAAATAAATAGAAGAATTGTTTGAAATAAACCTCATTCATTTATGCAGTTAGTTTATGGGTTAGTCTTAAAGATCTGTGAAGACCCGAAAAAGTTTTCTTCAAGTTTATCAACAGAAGAAATAATCAAAATAAAGATTCAAGTAAAGGTAAAGGTCTTTCCAACGAAACAGTAAGGGGAAAATGCATTTAACATAGAATCAATTACAATTATAAGGATGCTTTAAGGATAGAATTGGAACTGAACACGCAATACTCTATATAAGGGCTGTGCAGACCAGAGAAGACCGCGGACGCGGATACAAACACTGAAAACACACTAGATTGTAGGAGCGCAAAAGTAAATCCCTTATTTTTTATAAATTACTTACGGTTGGATACAAGTTTTTTTACCAGTTGTACAAAGATATATATGGTATACTAAAGTCTTTACCAATTAAGTAAACTAACGTGAAGTGTAATAAATTATTTAAAAAATTTTAATTCATTTATTTGGGATAACAATTAATAACACCACATATATCAAAATATAAAAATTTGCCGAATTGTGGTAGATTAGAAACATGTCGCGAGCCATACACATATTAGCCGTGTTTTAAGCAACCCTGCTCTATATAGTTAAATTGTACTAAGGAGATTCTTTCATTTCAAGAGCTAATTCTTCAAGAGCTAATTCTTGCACCGGAGAATACGAAGACATGGTATTACAGCACCTATGCAAGGATCAATCAGAGACATCTTTGATAGAGATATATGGTAAGTACTGGTTTCATAAAGAATTGCTGAGAAGTGTATTTAAAATGACTTTTTTAAATGATTATAGAAAAATATATATTTGTTTTGTAAGAGAGCTAGTGATCACTGCTAAACTTAACTGAGATTTGTAATAATCAGAATTTAATATCAATAATGTGGGTTTCCTTGCACCGAAAAATACGAGGAAATGGTTTCCAGCACTCATGCAGGGATGAGAACCATCTTTGTTATAGATATAAATACTGATTTCATAAAGAATTGCTGAGAAGGGCATTTCTTTTTAAAATGACTTTTTTAGACAAGCATAATATAATCAGAAGAACAAGATGATTTATGAGAGAATTAGTCAAGCAGTGCTAATCTTAACTGAGACCTGTCACAAATAGAGTTTAATTTTATTGATTGAGATCTTTTTGTACAGGAGAATACGAGAACATTTCAGCATCCATGCAAGGATTATAAACATTTCTGATGGAGAAACAAATATTGAGCTCATTACGAATTGCTGAGAAGCATATTAAAAACGATTTTTTAGATTAGCAGGATATAATTAGAAGATCAGGGTAGTCTGTGAAAATATCTAGTGAACTTAGCCAAGCTAAAACGATCCAGAAATCATTGCATTCAAGTTTAAAAAATATTTAAGCAATATTAAAATTGACAGAATGTTTTGTTAATTAAATATAATTATGCAGTGATTTTATGGTTTGGTGGTTTGTTCTAATATGGGGAAAAAAAAGTGAATATATATTTAAAGATTATTAAGATTTTGATAAATACTGTAGCAATTTATTAAACTGTTAAACTGTTATTAATATTATATATTATATACATGAGTTGTATACATTCTATACAATAACGCAAAAAGTATTCTTTAATAAAAATTCTTCCTTCAATAATTTAAATAAAAACGAGTTTCTTTCTAAAGTTTTTGTGATTAAAATTGTGGGATTTTATTGTTGCTATTTTAGATATTTTATTTAGATTTTTATCAATTGAGTTAACTTTTGTAGTTTATGTTTGACACTAAAAAAACAACCTTAAACCAGCGATAAATGTCAGTTTAAAATTTACAAAACTGGTTGACAGATACTGCGACATTTAGAATTTGATCAATTCAGCGGGTTACGATAATAATATAATTGTTAAAAAAGTTAAAACCGCAGTTGGAATACCCTATATTTTAATTTTCACAAAAATATTTAATTGTTATCACAATCA